AACTCTAGTTTTTGCAGTAAGTCCCAAGATTATTACAGCTTGCTACGTCCAGTCGCTATTTTTGTGCTTCACATTTTGCTTGGAACACATCACAGCATAGCACAGAGTATAACAGCACACACAGAATTTGTCCCGGAACATTAAACAACTAAAAAAGTGTTGGGACGACTTGAAATCTAAATGGAATAAAGACAAGTCAGCGGAGATCCACGAGCGCATTGCAACAGGTGAGTTACACTTTCAAAACTCACAATTTGAGCGTGTTTGCTGCTGCAACACAGTGCCCAATTGGCATAGATAATGTTACAGATCGCGTATGAACAACATTAGAATATGCGTAAGCCCTTCCTGCTCCTGGTGGCGCTGAATTGCGGTCACAGTGGCTGGTGGAGAACGAGAAGAAGCAGCGCGAGGCCCAAGCCACACAAAAACATTGTTTGTGGCCGCTATTTCATTCCTCTAGTGATGAGCTCAGGAAATTAACCTGAACCGCTGTTCCTATGCATCCCCTGGTGAAGCAGCAGGCTGTAGCAAAGTGGCAATGATCAAGCGGCCATGGCAGTTCTATTGCATTCAAATTAAGGGTGGACACTGTGCAAAAAAATCGCGGTTTTCAGCCGAAAAACGGCTTTCCAGATTATTTCAGTTTCGTGTTTTGTAACTAATAAAGAATCTATTTGCAAAGTATCTTTCACGTCTGTGTTGTAAAAACGCAGAAACTTGCGTTTATTTGCACATTGGCGGCATCCACGCAGCACCTCGGACCCCAGGAAACTTTCCACAAACGCCATTTTCAAAGCGTTCGCGCGGCGAGAGGAATAGGCCTACAGCGGAGCATTTACCGTCGTTGAAACTGCGTTTCTTTCTCTTTACAACGTGCATGCACGCTGCTGTCGAGAGACTTCGACCACAAGTGGTCAAAAGCTGATAATACAAATGAAAAAATCTAGCAATGACGCACCCTGATTGGCCAGAAAACCGAAACTCGGGCTGTGGTTGGTGGAAATGCAACATGTGATGCCTCGCGCGTCCCGTGCCGCTAGGCCTTTCAATGTCGCGCTAGACCTTGTTTGACTTTCCGCGACGGTGGATCTGCATGCTATCTTTTTGATGCTTTGAGTCAGCATTTCTTTTGTCGCAAAATGCCCGCTACAAAGTTTTCGTTCGGAAAACGAAATCGGTTCTCGAAGCCTAGAGGCCGACGCAGCACCGGGTGGCCGACTGCGCTTGACGATCGACCGTTGTGCGTGGCCGACTCGAGCCCACCGTGACCGACGGCCTCGGTGTCTTCGACAACCGACAGTGCTGCCAGAGCTTTGATTTCGGAAATCTCAAGTGCTTCAGACAGCGATGTTGCGACCACACTGACTGCTTTTGAGCGGAAGGTAGCGTTGCTACAGCAGTGCTACGACACGTCGAAAACCTCGACGAATGACGCCAGTGACGACGCGGAACCGCTCAATGGTTACCGTTTCTTTTGTGTGTCGGCGATAAAGAACTTGATAGCGCCGCTTTTATGCCCCGAGTGCTGCAACCAGTCCCTTGAACTGAAAGAGACTGGATCTGGTGCTAATCTTCAGTTTGTTGCAATGTGCGATCGGTGCGGAGACGTCGCAAAAGCTGCGCACTCGCCGATCATGAAGCCGAGCCGCCAACCCGAACTGCCCGTTCGCCTCGCTGTGGTTAGCCGTAGTTGCGGGATTAACTTCGCCAAGTTGTCAAATTTCTTCGGTGGAATGAACGCTCCGCAGCCTATGCACCTAAAGACGTTCCAGGGAATTTCCCGTAAAATGCACCGCGCTGCGATGGACGCCGCGCGTGACGTGATGCGTGAAGCCGTTCAAGCGATTAGAAAAGAAAAGGGAGCAGGTGACAGCAACGAGTTGGTGGACGTAGCAGTCAGCTTCGATGGCACATGGCACAAGCAAGGCCACACTACGCACTTCGGTCTAGGCACAGCAATTAATCTTGACTCTGGTCTTGTGCTCGACTTCGCTGTTCAGAGAAATTACTGCCATGACTGCAGCCTGGGGCCCAAACCAGCTGAAGAAAAGCACGAAGAGTGGATGGAGACCCACAGAGAGGTATGCCAGAAAACTTTTCATGGCTCGTCCAACGCGATAGAAGTAGAGGCTGCTGGTGTTATCTTCAGCCGCTCAGAAGAGCTCCACAACATGCAGTACACGACGGTACTGTGCGACGGAGACAGCAAGGCATCCTTGCATGTTGCCAAGCTTGATCTTTATGACAAGCAGATCACCATTGAAGACTGCATTAACCATGTAGCGAAGCGCGTTTTTGCTGGCATCGACAAGCTAAAGAAAGCCAAGAAGGGCTTGGGAAACATGGGGAAGCTGACAGTAGCAGCTGCGAAGAAACTAACGGCAGACTATGCAGCAGCTCTGAAGGAAAGTGCTTTGGACGTCCTAAAGATGCAGCATTCAGTGTTTGCAAGCCTTCTACACTCGTACTCAACGGATCAAAAGCCCTGCCATCTTGCCTGCCCACAAGGTGAGCAGTCCTGGTGCCACTACAACAGGCCCTGCTCAGCACTGGAAAACAATCCATTGCGAAGCTTCACCGTCCTCTGTTCAGCAGGGACATTGCTAAAGAACTTCTGCCCCTCTACAATAGGTTGGCCAAGGCAGACCTCCTGGCACGCTGCTCGAGGATGCAGACACAGAACTCTAACGAGTCATTCAACGCCTTGGTATGGAAGAGATGCCCCAAGACGGAGTTTTCGTCCTTGAAGACTGTCGAGACGGCTGGAGCCCTGGCCGTTGTGGAGTACAACGCAGGCCAAGGGGCATTGAAAGGGTCCTGGACAAGATAGGCTTGACCCCTGGCACGCACACATGCAAGCATGTTGAGAAGACCGCAAGAGGGTGCGTGTCAAAGGCACGTGCGAAGGCTCTTGACAGCTCAAAAGCAGCCATAAAAAGGCGAAAGCTTGAAGCCATTGCAGCTGAAGAGCATTGGGCTGAAGATGAAGGCCCCACCTATGTTCCTGGGAGCTTTGTTTGAGCTTGTGCGCTCAGAAAATGAAGTGAGGCGCTTCTAAAACTTTGAGTTCATTTTTCTCCATTACGGTTTTTTCAGAATTCTGCCATCGTAGGAAAACTATTGTTTTGTTATTACGTAACGTGGATTCATTTTTATGAGTTTTTCTGGGGTGAAATTTTAAGGGGAAGATAGCTATGAGCTTGTATTTTTTTATTTTTTGTCGATTTCATGCTCAAAAACTAACATTATAGACAAAGGATGGAAATCTAAAAAACAGTTTTTGTGTCTATGTGGCTTTCTTGTCATGAAAGATGGCATAATATAGAAATATAGCTCCATAGCTATCTGCTCTGAACTTTCCTAGAGCAATATAACACATGAAAATGACAAATCTATGAGTAATTTCAAAACGATAGTTTTCCAATGCAGACAACACCCACTTTCATCTTTGAACCTTTGCAATTTCTTTTGTACTTCACACAGGTTAACGAAATTTGGCACAACTGTTCTCAACATCAACAGAATCAAGCCCTGTAAATGTCATTTAAATCAGACAAGTGGTTCAAAAATTGACTTTTTTGGGTAGTGTCACCCCTTGAGATGAAACAGTCGTTCATGCTTCTTTGGCGTACACTGAAGCAAAAAGTTAACTCCCTGCGAGCAGGCGTTTTTTTTTCAGTATCGTAGTTTTGGCAAGCCTGCTTGATACACAAGCACACAGAGCTTGCTCTAGCAGGTCATGGCCGTCAACAGTGGTATGAAGAGTAACAATAACATAAAGAGTACCAAAATGCAGATGTATTGGGCAGCCCTACACTAAAGCTAGCTGTTTTCTGGTTTTTACGGAACACCTCTTTCCTATGCTTTTCCTGTGATAATACTGTGTTATCGATTTTCTTCTTTCCTGTATTCCCAAGACGTGTGCAACTTGTTTAAAAATGTGATCTGTGTGATACACATTATTTATATCCCCAGCTGCTAATATAAGCCAGCTATCAGTGCTCGTGGGAGCAGCAACTTCTCACATGGGCAGGCGGCTGACCAACACTGCTAAAAATGACTGCAGGCATACCGGCCAGACAACGTTTGACGTGGCAGAAGTTTTGATGCCGATGGTGGTGCCCCAGGCCGAAGACGAGCTGTCCTGAGATGGTGTACAAGCTATGTGGAGGGAGCTTTTCAGAAATTTTTGTTTGCACGTGTTCGCCGAGCTGTGGGTCATGACCTCCGCAAGCACTCTTCCGTGCGATGTTCTCGATCATAAGCCAACAAAAGAACCTTTCTTTCAAGATTACAACTATGCAACATACCAGTAAACTACTAGGGCTATCACAACATGACTATCTCAAAGTTAGTGGTGTAGAACCACTGATCTTGGTTACCACAACAATTTCCCACCCTTCTGTTACCCATGGCAGGCCAAGTATAAGGTCTCTTCAGAATGTATTCGATGTTAGGTAAGAGAAAAGGCCTATGTTTTAGTTTTAAAATTGATCTTTGTGGTATGCACATCTGGACTCCACAGTGGTTGTTGTAAAAATGTAGGGATATACTAAGTAATTTAAACCAAAAACTACCATAAAAAGAACTCGGTGCAAATTTCGAACCGAAAACATGATTTTCATGGATGGCTCACCAAAATATTAGGCAAAGAACAGAAAACATGTCTCCTTCCTTCGAAATGTTGCACTTACGCCGTGTATTCGCGAGGCAAAAATTGGAACTACAGTAAAACCTCGTTAATTCGGATCTCACAGGACCGGCGAAAATGTCTGAATTATCCGAAAGTGGAAAGGACAAAGAAAACTGCGCTTCAAACGTTTCCGTGTGACATACCTTTATTTTGAGAAGAAATCTATTATTGCCACCTGCTTTGTGGATGGAGGACATTTGGGCGGAGACAACAACTTTCCTTAGCACGGTCAGGTGCTCCATCGCACTCGCACTGTCCGAGGTGCACATCCCGTGCGCTGACGACCCACTGCACCAAGGCCTCTCCTAGTTTCGGGCGCGCCGCCTTCTGCAGCTGCTTTCTTTTCACATTGAACTTCTCGCTCTCGAAAGCCAGCAGGATCTCGGCCTCATTTTTCACGTACGGGACCAAAGTGCTTCTCTTGACGTCGTACCTTTCCATCACTCGTTGTTGAGAGACGCCGTCCTTCAAGGCCCTCAGTATTTCCACTTTCGGCGCTTAATTCTTGGCCAGGTACTTCTGCCACTTAGGGACTGCCGCTTCGCCGGCGGCGCCGCCATGGAGGTGGCTGCAGTTTCTGCATGTGACGATGCACGGCATTACAGAGCAAAATTGGTGCGAAACCAAGGAGGTAAAACCAGGCAAAACAAGGAGAACCGGAAGAGCGAAAAACCAAGGGAAAAACTGGAAAAACCACGTGTGCACCTCAGATGGATAGCAATCATACCCTTTGGAACGGGGGGTAGCTTGCGCCACCTGCCAAATTCGTCCGAATTAACTATAGCGCGCCACACTGCCTCCGAATTAATGAGCGTCTGGTACCATTGACTGATACACACGTTTGACGGGACCAGATCGGCAGTTAGAATTATTCAAATTTCCGAATTAGTGGGGTTGAATTAACGAGGTTTTACTGTATTTTCCGATCTGCAGCCGCAAGTAGCGGCCATGCAAACCACGCGACATGATGTCATTGGAGGACTTGTAATAAAATAGCAAGTTTTGCAACTATCTGCTCAATATGAGCCTGAAAATCATCAACAAAAGTTTATTACTCAGAGTTTTAGTGGCGCCAGCTTCCCGAGGTCAACAAAATTGCCAGCTCAACTGACGAGGAACTAGATGAGCATTGTTTGACTGTTTGTTAGAATGTTGGCTCTCCTGTTTTCTAGAATATTGAGTTCAAACGCTGCCGCTAATATTGGCAATGCCGATCCGGGTGTGGTCCTATGCGGAGGACATAGCTGGAAGTGTCAGGGCTCTCGTTTGTTTTTGTAGGTCTCTCTGGGGGGCCTATTTCCGGTCCTCAGGGGTGGCTTCCCCCCTTTCAGCTTGCCTATCAAAGAGTGCCGGAATAACCAGATGCCGCCAAGTGATCCATGTGCTCTTGCACAAGCTCAACACCTTGAGGGAGAGATGTGTGGCCAGAGCAGAAGCACGCACTGGCATACGGAACGCGAGAAAAGAATTACTGCATCCCAGTTCGGAGACATTGTGAAACAGCAAGCACCAGTATACAAGAAGTTTCTGAGAACAATCTCCTCGGGCACACATGGCACGACACGTCACATGAGGGCGGGACTTCAGAATGAAGCGGTTGCTCTTAAGTGCAAAAAGGTGAAGCAGAAGGCTGAAGTCTTCGGTGTTAACATTTGTGTCAACCCTTGCCTTCCCATGCTGGGGGCGTCACCAGATGGGCTGGTCTGGGACGAAGATATCCAAGAGTATGGACTGGTTGAGGTTAAGACCGTGTCGCAGGCGATAGACGTGGGCCTGAAGATTTTTCATGAAGTAATGGGCAGACGATTTGTAGAGTTCATCCATGCAGACAAGAGTGTCGACAAGAGACACAATCATTGCTGCCAGGTGACGAGACAGCTTGCTCTCACAGGACTGGAGTGGTGCAACCTTGTTGTCGACTGGGCGAAGCACTGCTGGGTCACACGGGTGCCGTTTGACGAAGCACTTTGGGTCAACGCAATGTTGCCACACCTGACGGACTTCTTTTTTAAGTATCAGAAAGCCTGAATGGCAATCAGAACTGTCTTGTCAGGGTGAAATCGACCTCATTTTTAAGGCCAAAGACCGACTAGTGATTGAACTCTGGAGAATATATAATAAATAAACTTTTGTGCAGCAAAAGTAGTTGGCATGAGATGTAGTTGCAAATGCCTCAGACTGCTCATTTCGGCGCAAGAGTTTATTACAAAACGTAACCTGTTGCACCCATGTCTAATATACTGATCGTGAAACTTGCATGCCAAAAATTGAGTTTGTGCACTATGCATACTGAACTCTATAGGGAGCGACCGAACTGCAGGACTGGTGGCAGCTGATAAAACCTGTTTGCTCTACTGACGTCTAACTTCTGGTTAGCTCAGTTGGTACTTTTTGGCAGGCGGCTCAAGTCCTGGGACGACAACCTGGTAAGCCAAGGCAGAAAGGTCTGCTTACTCATTGATAATTGCTCTGCTTACCGTTGTAACGTCAGCGTCAGCAACTGAGCTTCGTTTCCTGCCGCCAAACACAACATCGGTGCTGCAGCCTTTAGACCAAGGTATCATTCGTGCACTGAAGGCAGGCTACAGAAAGCACCTTGTGCAATGGCTGTTGATGAACCTGCACACTGTGCGGGAGCTGAAAATTGACCTACTGGGCGCAATAACTATGTTAAATGCGTCATGGAACGACGTGAAAAAGGAAATGATTCAGAATTGCTTCCGTCATTGTTGACTCTACATTTCCGGCAAGGCTGGCACCAGCTCACCAGACAATATTGATGAACCCCTTGATAATGACGAACCCCTCGAGGAACTAGATGATTTGTTGAGCCAGCTGTCCGAGTTCCCGGGTGCCGTGCGTGAAGGGACTACAGCTGCAGACTTTGTGTCCGTCAACGACGATGTTGCGATTACCGGAGAGCTCGCTGATGAAGACATCGTTACCAATCTAGCTAGGGATCTTGCTGACGACAGTAACTGTGAGGACTCAACAAGTTCCGACCCGCCCACTTGTTCCGATGCACTTCATGCGCCGAGCGTTGTTGGCCGCCGCTGGGCGTCCATAGAAGGCTGTGGGCTCAGCTGTTCCGAGTCAATCGACAACATTGAAAAGTGTATGCTGAATAATGCTTTGAAAATGAAAAAGCAAAAGAAGATTGGCATCCATTTCTCGTGCTAATGTGCTCACGGTGAATATATTTAGAAAGTAAAAAACACTTTTTAATGAGGTATATTTAGTACATTGCCAAATTCTTTATTCGTTCTATATTGAAATACACGATATATCGACCTAATTTCCATTGTTTTGCGAGTTCGACATATGCAGGTTTGACTGTATTCATCACTGTAAAGCCGACGACAAAACATGAGGACAATAGCAGAAATAGTGCGAAAAGCAATCCTGGATCAGAATGGATTCAGATTTGCTCCAATGTGGCCAACCATCCAATGAACATCAGCTAAATCTAAACAAAATGAAATAACGCTCTACATCCCCCATCGTCGAGACTACTGACAGAGCCAAGCAAACGGTTGAAGTGATTGAGTCACCGCCCTTCACATCGGGAGATTCACCCCCATATTCCACTTGTACACACAGGCCCCAGAAGTCCAAGCCCGTGTAGGATCATTCATTGATCCAAGGACTCTTCCTTACCCTACACTAGACAAACCCCCAGCTCTTGACCATGAGTGGACCACCAGGACATAAGCCCCCAGCAGTGAACGAGCAACCTGTAGCACTCTTCATATGGCTTTTCAACACCGACTCGCCCATGGCGGCAACATCCTTGCATTCATTGTTGTAAAGCCATGCCCCTTGAAACTTGCTTTTGCCAGGCATTTCCTTACTTATACAGACATTTCACTCGCATTAATGTGCAGAAAGTGCGGCGCTTGTCGTAAAACAACTGAAGATAAAGCACGATGCCAATGGCGGAAACAACATGCAAAAGCATTCCCGGATTGGATTGGTTTGGATCTGCTCCGATGTGACCAACCATTCAACAAACATTGGTCAAATTTATACAAATTGAGATAACTGAAACAAAAAAATCGAGAAGCATAACGAAAATGTAAGAAATATACCCGCGTTTGTTATTATAAATAGCCATTCACAGCTGTTGCCAACAGCAATAACCTTGCTTCAAAAGCTGGGTGCTCACCTACCGCTCCCTCCATCACTTACCAGTGAAGCAGACTTTGGCGACGCAACGGTCCTCCCACGCAAAGTGGCCTCCCAAGGAAAACAAGTTGCAGTCACAGGAATCCATCCAGTCAGTATGACGTCCACCGATGCAAAACGAAGTGTTTCTCTTTGAGTAACTTGGCACGGCGGTTCCTAAAGGTTCCTTGACACATTGCACCACATTCACGAGCACCGCACACCGCTGTTCACGCTGGACGCATCCTGGGGGCTGCGCAACCTGCATGCAGAAAACACTACGGCCCTTTAGCGAGCTTCTCACCGAGTTCTATGCCCTCTGTGAAGGCACAAACAGACCCTTTTCAAAAGTGTGCGCCATCTAGAGGCTGCTGTGCCCATTATCCGAGTTTGCCATCGTTGGGCACACACAGTGAGCGTGTATAGGACACGAAGGCTGCGTCGGGGTTCAATGTGACCTCGGCTCGGCTCACAATGTTGCTTGATGGGGTCTATAAACAGGGTCTATTACAAATGCATGAGCTTTAAATGCCCGTCATCTCACACACTTTTTGAAACTTTAATATATTCTTTCTATAACCACCACTTAGGTAACAACCTAAACTAGCGGGCATTGACTGAGAAGCAAGGAGAAAGAAATGCTATCAAATTAATTTTGATATCTTGTATCTTGCCCGACGCTTGCGTATTCAACGTCCCGATCTGGGGCAATGCTTTCCCTTGAGCACTCGAGTGCACCGCGGTGAAGCAAGCTAAGCAAACTTGCAATGCTTACTTCACAGGTGCCGCTCCACTGCAGTACACAAGAGCACGGTGAGAAGCACACTCAGCAAAGCTCGAGAGCAAACAAGGTACATAAAATATTGCAAAAATTACGAGTACAGTCAGTGTTTGACACTGACAGAGAGATCAAGTAGGATAGTATGTTATTTGCGGCTAAAATCGAAAGTTCTGAAAATGCGCACAAGCCTACCATAACCTTCCGGACATGTAGCGGGGACTGAGCCGTTATATTTTCAGTGTGAAATAAAGCGGAGTCATCAAGTGAAATCAACCTTCGGCGCAAAGTTGGAGCAAGTTTCTCACATTTGGGTTAAATGTAGCAGGATGTAGCAGGGTAAGCCTTTTAGCGCAGTTTGGCACCAATGGTGTAGAAATCACATCACCACAATCTTAAAGGCCGACGTACACGTCGCGCTTTCCCCTCTTGCCCGCCTCCTCCTTTCATATATCCTCTCCACTTTTTACCTTGCCCCAACTTGACTCCTCCTCGCAACTTAGGAGAAGAGAGCGCTAAAAGGATTATCTTCCCTGCAGAAAACCGAGGTTGTACGTCGGCTTTTAACATATTTTGTAATGATATTGGAAATGCAAGCTGGAATGATGTTCTTACTACAACGAATTCAGATGTGGCCTAAAATAATTTTTAGACAAATTTAAAGGCTTTTATGTAAAGGATTCTTCTGATAAGAATGTAACACATCCCAAAAAATTCGAAAGCCATGGATTACCCCAATTCTTCTGTGAAATATTATAAAAAATAAACTATTTCAGAAATTTCTTAAATCTAGAAATCAAAACGATTTAAAAAAATTCAAATCATATCACAGTAAGCTAACAAGGAAACTTTGAAGCACCATTGAAGGCCATTATCATAATTGCTTTATATCATCAATTGGACGTGTTGTCACATGAAAAAAAGTACCTCGATTTTACAGGGCGATCATAACCTTGACCGCTTAGAAAAGCTTTACACTGATTGCAAAAAATTAAGTGGTACTGCCTTATCTAATGCATTCAATTATCATTTCGTAAATCTAGTTACTAAAACTTAGAATGACGAAGCATGTGGGTATGTTAAAAATGGAAATATGAATTCAATATGGTTTCCTCATGCAGCTGAAGTAAAACCACCCTAAATTGTATATTGCATCGTTCATCACATTATCAGCAAAGGCAAAAAAAAATGTAATTTTGGCCTTTAAAAATATTATGCAGGGAAATGAACGAGCCGGACTAATCAATTAATTAACCGAATTAAGGATGGCAATTAATCGGGTTAAAATTTCTAATCGATGTCCAGCCCTAGGTATAATATCGCAACGTCCAGAAGCCATACTTCCCAACATGTAAAGACGAGTTTTCTTTTTTGCGTCGACCTTCAGTGAGGAGAAAAAAATGTCGCTCTCGTAAGACACGGGTGTGTTTTCCCGTCGGATGGGGGTAATATTAAAGCGTCGAGCTTGATCGCGGAGACTGCCTGCAGCAGAAAGTGACCGGATGCAGTGGGAATAAGCCACAATACGCTCATGTTTTGCAGTACCGGATGGCGATGCACGATGTTGCCACCTGTGTTTTCATGTTTCCCTCTGTCACTGGCTGGACAAGCACGGCTTGTCGGCCGTTGCCCGGGTGGCCATAGTACAGGCAGTGAACAGTTTTAGCAAGCTGTAATACCGTTGTTGCGTGCAGAGCCCAAAAAACTATTCCACTAACAAAAGCAGGGACGGAAATGCCCTCCCTCCTACCACCCCAGCGTGTTTGCTTCGTAAACTGGGCAGTACCAAACATCCGGTTGACGTGCAAACAAGGTTCAAAAACGAATAATCTTGGCAATATTACGTGCAAATGCGCGGATCTAGATGTGCAAGTTGAAGAGACTGTGCAACGATATTAGCTTGGAATGTTTTTCGCTTTTCACAAGCTTACTGGAACTAGTGAGACCCAAGAATACTTACATGCAATGCCACTGACCGAGAAACTCCTTCGTTGCAGTGTAATTTCAAGGACAAAAGCAAGTTTTCTTTCTAACTCTCTCCTTTGCACAACATGATGATGTAGCAGGGGGTCGCAGTGCCCCCCAGTGACGAAAATTGAATAGAGCTCATAGATCTACCCGAGCATTGCAAGCGAGATTTTACCTGAGCGTTGCAAGATTTTACCCAAGCATTGCCTAGGGCCAAAACGGCCCTAGGCGCTCGCCCCTAGGGCCAGTCCGGCCCTAGGGGCGGGCGACCTGGGCAGTTGCCCAAGGCGCCATCAAAAGGGGGGCGTCGACACGCCCCCTTTTTGATGTTTTTTTTTTATCCTTTCGACTTATTTGAACACAGCACCCAACACGACCATACATGCATGACTGGCATTACTTTTTGGAATGCAGTTTTCATCTGACAAAACTATTGTGTTGGGCCACTACTCACATGTTCAGTAACAATCTGATGTCATACCCAGTAGATAGGGGCATACAAAAAGGCAAAGGACGGGAGGGCCACGTTTAGTTTGACCAGGGCGCTTCATGGTGTAGGGCCAACCTAGAATGCCTGAGCACTCGATTTGGGCTCGTGATAATCTATACCTCAAGCAGTGGCCCATCTCTAATCGCTGCAATGACAACAATAGCCGAACCCTAACAATGTCTGGAACTCAGCGCGTGCCCTGTGCTTTGCCGACCCCAGCGCGTGGCTATGATCAGCATTGGAGGCACATAATCGGTGTCTGCATATTCTGACTGTGAGTTGAAGGGGTGAGTATGGCTCGTGTTCCATTTTTTCTGTGCCTTCTTTTGTGTGTGGTGAAAAAGGAACACATGGTTTATAAGTCATTAACGTAAGGGATTCGTTCTAAGCAATATGTGTGCAAAGTACAAAAATTGCTGCATCGCCCCTTTAAGAAAATTGGCTAGATATGTCCGACGTGCCTTTAAGAATACGGGCGGATACATCCGACGTAGCTTAATCAAAATCAGCCGGATACATCCGACATACCTTTAAAGGCTGAACCACATAGAGCTCTTTTTGAACATATTTACAGGCATTTCAGGTAATTCCAACGTATAGCGGGAGTCGGGACGAGCGTTTCCTCCATGTCTCAAGGCTCGTGTAAATATGCGCTTATTCGATGATCCGACCAAGACAGATCTCGGCACTTCGGTGTGGCGTATCGGGAAACATATGACGCTGCGCCATACATTTTCGTGGTGTGCAAAATCTCATGAGTTGACGGCCAGCAGTTCCTCAAAGATTAGCTGGCCTAGCTTTGTGGTAGGCAGGCTAGCTTAGCTCAGCCGCCGAATAGGGCGCTCGCTTGTCGTGTTTAACAGTTTATTGGTGAACTGCATGAAATCGCTATATCTCTTTCGAACAAGCAATGAACAACTGAGACAGAAGGAAAGACCATCTATGTAGCAGGCAATGTGGAACAAAATATAAAAGGAAGGGTTTTGAGCAGAGATTACGACCGTCCTCCTGCCGGGGCTTGTTGGCAACATGGCCATTGAAAGAAACATTTTAAAGACAAGCGTGAGCAAATTACGCCTACGTTGTTTATTAACATTGTTATTTCTATCACTTTGCGGAAAGCAATAATAGAGCAGCTGATTTACACTTTGCCTCGTTACATTTAAAGCGCGAGTAGGGCACTGCACCAAACGCCCAGGAGACATCGACGAAAAGTGCCGTGTGTGGTTGGGCTAGCTTCCCCTCCACCCTTCTGTGAAAAAAGTGCCAGCCAAATGTTGTGATTAAGCCTGCTGAAATGCATGTAGATATGTTGAGAATACTTCCTATGCGAGTCGGCCTTAAGAATAGCGGCTGTTTGACACACTTTTAAGAAAATCGGCCCGATACATTCAACATACTTTTTAAGAATATCAGCTGGGTATCTTTGACGGACCTGTGAAGGGGCCATGAAATGAGTTTATCAGCTGGGTATGTTTGACGGGGCCATGAAATGAGTTTTTCGGCTTGGATAAATAATTTTTGTATTGTAAACTTACTAATCGCATACTGTTTAGTGGGCCAAAAGAAAGAGGGTAGAAAGTGACAAGCCTGCTGTTTGGTACGAAAATTCGAAACTATAGCGGACTATTTCATACCGCCTTTCCTTCGAGAGCTTTCCTCCTTTTCACTGTGATACATCCGCGGTACCTAAAGCACATCAGCTTACCCCAGCTCACGCATTGAACACGATCACTGCGTCACTCGGACGTATGCGCTCGTCAATAATCAATCCGTCCACGAATATTTTAATTCACGTTCGTGGCCAATGAGTGCCGCGACGGCACTTATCATTGCTTGCGAATGAGAATTTCTGTGGTGCGCTTAAAAAGGACGGCGGAAGCTGGAGTCATCGTACCGGTGCCCAAGCACGACACGACCGCGTGATTTCTCATTTCGCTTCGATATTAAAAAGAAAAGCTGAAAACACTTTTTTTTAATAAAGATAGTTGGATACATTCCATGTATTTTTAGTCAGCGTTTGACGAAACAATGAGTCGATGAAACTTCGTGGGACTAACTGAATGACACCACCTTATTACAACGAACAGAAAACTAGAACCAAATACAGTCCTACAAGCCCTTTGTCGCCGAAAACTTACCAGCCTTGGGGAACCCTTGGTGACGACTTGGCGACCCTTAAAGGCTGCATGCGGCCTACCACGAAGAACTTGAACTCGTGACTCGTTTAGCGCATAATTTGTTAAAAAGACACGCACCAGAACCGCTTAACGTCAACAAAAGCTTGCGGGAGCGCGGTTCCAAAAGTTCGAAACAAAGTCGCGACGCAAATATGCAAATCGCCAAAAGCACACACGCAACCAGAAAGGGTGATCACGATAGTGCTGGTGATACCCAGATTGAGACTTCAGATGCTTCAGATGCTTCAGATGCTCGAGACAAATGCATCAGTCCACTGTCAGAACTCAAGAGCGTAAAAAGCGCTCCACTGTTATTCTACATTTAAGATAATGAACCTTCTTTTTGTATAAAAGAACAAAACGGAAGGTGTTCGTTTCTGAGGTGTACCGTATCATGTTAATGAAAACGGAACTAGTTAGTTTCGGTTTATTTTTCTAAAGCTATGAATTTGTGAATTCTCTATGCTGTCCATTCCTTTCGGTTGAGTTCCGTGGCTGTGATACACAGCCCCTTCCCCTGGCAAGTGCCGAGCGCTCCGCGCTAGCGGTCGTGGCGGTCGTCGAGCGGTCGGTCTCCGTGAGCAATCGGTCACGTGATCCATCCCAGTGGCACGCGCTGCCACTGCACTCGCCCAATGCACTCGGTGCATTGGGCGAGTTCAAGTTTCCGTGCAACACTCTGCGAGTGCGATGCATTCTGGGAGAGAACTCAAACGGTGCCAGTGCGTGTGAAACGAATTCGCTATCACAGTTACAATATATATATGGGTGATTTCATCTCAACTCAGGCACGGATTTAGGGTCGAATTTTTAATTTTGACGAAAAAAATATATGTTTTGGGGTAATTCCTATAATAAAAGAAGACGCAAACGGTTATTTCGTCGGATTTTTTGTTCTCAAGTTATGGACCGTTGAAGCGGTCAAGGTGGAAATTGATGTTTTTCCAGCCTATCGGAGGTGCCATATTTCACTCCATCCCTTTTCAATACTTTTTACGCTACATCAATATAACATTTTGGAAACACTCTAGACATAGGCTTTTTCATGCTAATTAAGCGTCTAGGTCATAACATTAATAATGACTTTTTTTTTTATTTGTCAAACCGCCTCTCTGTGACGATATTTGACGAAGTTCAGCAAGCTGTGCTGTGTGACCTAATCAACATATATTTATGATCTTTATATCACCGTAAAGCACCAATTATGCTCTTTCTTTTGAGTATAATTTCAATATTTTGCCACAAGTATATAATGCGCTACATGTGCCTGAAAAACGAATATTTTGAAAAACTAGCAAGTTTGGAGTCGATTTTCTAAAAAGACCCACTTTTTATTTTTTTCATTTTTTATTCACAGTTAGTTAATATAGTAGTCTATCAGGAACTACCAACAGAAATTGTAATATATTGTTGGTATGGCCGCTATTAAGACTCGAATCTTGTGCTATGAGCGTTTTGAACGGGACTTCGCACAGGCGCTTTGCTGAGCAGAATTTTGGCCAATGTAAAGTTTTCTATTTAAAGGGATACTACAACGAAATTTCGGCGCTCATTTTTTGGTCTATATGTGTTCAAAAGAGCAGTATCACATGGAACATACCAATATCTTGTTAAAAAAGTCTCGAAAAGGAATTTTAAAACGAATTAAACGATTAGCAAAGAGCACCTGGTGGATGTCGCTAACGCCTCGTTTGTAATGCTCGTCTAGAAACCTTGACAGCTAGTGACGGAGGTTGACTCGTCTCCGGCCACGACGAGAGAAGGGGGGAAGGAGGAACTCCCCTCGTCCCAAGAATCCCTTTTGTGTGTCGCAGAAGTCGCTATTGTCCCCCTAGAAGATTATAGAAGATTAACCCGTCACTCAAAATTCGTACAAAAGCAGCCGCTTCGGTGGCTGGAACGACTAGGCCATCTTCTCGACGTCAGCCTCGCCGTAGCTTTGCTCGTCTTGAGACGACCTACGTCACGATTGCTTTGGATGTCACATGCTCTAAGCTGGGCCTTCTCCGAGCGCTTGCCAGAGTGGGCCGTTTATAACGAAAAATACAGCCACCAGGATCAAAATACAGACGTGCGATTGTCATTTAGGGATATTGTGGATCATATTCAACCTATTTTTGAACACGACGGGAATATTTCAAATTTCGTTGAAGTATCCCTTTAATGTTAGTACTTACCACAATATCTGAGCGTAAAAGCAAGTGAAGTAACAATATATATCCTTACAATATTTATTTACTTGGCACTGGGGTGATTTGAAAGGTGTGTGAGCTTCGCCTTATGTATTGACGGAGAAGTACATAACATCTAAACTCACGGACAAACTTAATCACGAGGGAAACGTCTAAGTAACCTGGCATGAATCACTGCAAATAGAAATGAAACATAAACACATGAATAACGCATTTGAAGCCTTACACGCCACGAAATGCTCGTCCTTACACGCCACGAAATGCTCGTTATTTTACGAAAGAGCCCGTATGTGCACAAAATAGACCGTACTTCCAAAGCGTCAGACACTAAATCGCACATATGTATATGCACTGCATATCTGTTTGACATAAGAAAATATGACAGTTACATATAAAGTTCGGAATTTTAAACTCAAGATGCGACACGTAACCAGAGAAGAGAAGTAATATTTCTTCATTGCATAATATATAACAAAATGTGTTGACCAAATGTCTCATATACTCCAAATTAACATAAAATACACTCAAAGTTAACACAAATATAAACTTTAAAACGAATTGAGCACCGCCAAATTCCGTCTGGTTTACGGATAGACAACGCAGTACCTTTCAATACTACACGGCGCTGCTCACACAAAAACAGTGATAGACACCTGGAATAGGGATAGTCATCTTTCGACGTGGCACATTTCGAGGAAATAGGTTGATGCAATTCTGAGCCAGTTTTCGCTTTGTCCAAATTGTAGTCAGTTCAGTGTCGAAGTCTATGGCGCGTCGTCTGATCACACCGCGCGCACTCACTGGGGGACAAGGATGAACGCACTGTTGAAACGGTCCGGCCTTTTCACGGTCCCACCATTTAGCTCTGTCTATTTTGGGGTTTGGTAAACTCTTTCTAGGACCACATCGCCTCCCCCTTCCCCCATTGCTTTGCTCCATGCACAGATGAGAAGATTGGATGCCTTTCGATGGGGTTACCTTCTCCCACTCCTTCCTTTTAAGCTCCCGATAACGAGACAGCTCCTCTTGGTCGATGAAGAGAAGCGTTATCCCCTTGATTTTCTGGCCGAGAGCTTCAACGAACGTACGCGTGTTAGTTATGGAGCTCAGCTCAGTTCTTTTCAAGTTATGCAGTGACGCATGATGCTTCAGCACACCACCCACTCCATCGCACGCGCTTTTGTCGTGCCCTGACGCCGAATATATCCACCTGCTGACAACAAAATTCTTCTGAAATTCGTGTAACTGGTGCCGATTTTTGAAATGGCTTGGAGCGCCGTCCGAAACATAGATCAGCTCCAAAAAAACGGGCACGAGTTCCTCGAGCTTGTCTTCAATCATTGTGAGCGCAAAGAGCGCGTGTGCAGAATCATGACAGGTATCGTCACTCACGACGCCGAAACTTAGTGTTCCCTTCGTGGTCGTCGCAACGCAGGTGAAGATTGTCACCATCTTGGTTTTCCAGTGCTATCCCTTCACTGCACGCTGGAGCACAATACTCCAGTTTTCGGCGAAATCAAAGTGGAGGACTACGACACGTGGCTTCACATTTGCTTTTTCAAGCCATATTGCTCTCTGTTGTGCGCGCCGAATATAATAGTGGGGTATGTATTTCTTCGTCCACTTGTTGAGTTCGTTAAGAAAAGCAGTGGCCTCCAAATGTTTTTTCACCAACTCGCCACCAGATTCCCACAGTGCCAACTCCAGTTCATCTGCAGCGCTCATCCCTAGCATCTCGAGGGATATGTCCTTCCGGTTCGAACAGGCTTCACACCTCAGCAAGAAGCAGTTTTGAGAAGGATTTTCACAAAGAAAAATTTTCTGGACGTCTTCAAAGGTCATGGTCTTCCCCGCCGCATTTGACGGAGATGTCAGACAGAGTATGAAGTTGGCGCAGCATACACACACACACTCTTCATGTACAAGGTGTTTCTTAACCCACTTGGGCCGAAGAGAATAAAATTTTGTCAGGCCCATTTTTGACTCGGGATTGGCCGTCTTGAATTCTTTGTAGGTTTCCCTAATAGATCTCGTCATAAATCGCTTCGTGACGAAGACTTCCTGACCATCAATAAAAAGCCTTACGACATCCTTCTTGTTCGGGCTTTGTCTTGAGCAGTCTTTCGCATCTGATGTGTAGTAAGTCAACGCAAGAGCGACATCGTTTTCGTTGAGAGCATGTCCTTGGTATGGGTCAGGTGACGCCCATACCCCCATTTTTTTTTCAGCTTTCTTGATTGGTCCAAAGCATGCTTCGTCACTTCAGGAATTGCTTTCAGGATATCTTTCTTTTTGAGGTTAGATGGAAAGAGAGTTAAGAGGCGTTAGCGTTCTAGCTGCGACGCGCTCTTGACGTAGGCTGCTCGTAAATTGCTGACCCAGTCGGAGCACGAGGAGCATGGATCTTCTTTGTCTGTGCCCGTAGGTTCTCCGTACACGTCACTTAGTTTACGACCAATTTTCTTTTTGAAGTCCGCGGTTATCTCGGATTTTTTTCGCTTAACATAGCCGGTACGACTTCGTGGGGTCACGCTAGAAGGGAGTTTAAGTGGTGTCACACTTACTTCGGCAGCATCAATTGCTTCAGACACTCCTTGGACCAGGGCTTCCTCGTCAACGAATGATCTGTCCGCTGGTTTCAGGGATGATGACGATGAGCTTGATGACAACATTTCCTGTCCTTGCTTATGTTCTTCAATCTGACAAAAGAACATTGTGTAGCAGTTATTGCACAGAACATCTCCAGGGCTTACGCGCTGGGCGTCCTCAGCCGTTAGAACTTGGTTAAGAAAACTTAGGTTTAGCTCCGAGACTTGACGAAAATGGCGTCCGTAAAACACTCTTCTCTTGTGTCTCCTTGAATAGTCGGCGCACACTTTCCGGTCTGAACTGAATAATGTATTAGCCATGGCAGTAACGAACACTTCTGGCTTTCTGAAAGCAGGAGCAGTTTTAAGTTCATCCAGCTTGGACAGCACGG